TATATAAATATAAAAGAAGGATAATCAAAATGATTAATACCTGTTTAATATCAATTGGTTTTATATCTAAACTCATTAGAACGTCATGAATCTGATTCTCCAGTTCCGGTGAAATTTTGACAGGATAAGGTCTCATCTGTTCAGTATCCTTATTCTTTTTTAATGTACCACTAAATGCTTCGATTACACCTAGATGATATAGTTGGCGAACAATAGATAAAGCACAGCTTTTTGAAGCTGTTTGTTTGTTTGATCCAGTTTCACGGCCAGTTATAGCTGAAGTATTAAAATATTAAGAGAATTATTACATTCTTATGTAATATGGTTAAATGTATTTAAATAAATATAATAGAAATTAACATACTTCGTCCAAGTTGTTTAATATAAAGTGACATTTCTGCCATAAAACTCCTGTGAAAAATAATGTCTGTTATAGATAATATAAATGTATTATACATTAATATAATTAATAATTAAGGGAACAATGTGAAAGAAACACACATAATTAACATAATTTGAATATACAAAAATATTTTAAATAATTGAATAATTTATTTACTGTATATTGAAAAAATTATTAATATAAGTTAAAAAATAATTTTTGTATATTAATTTTACTTATTGAAAAATCAATATAAGTTATTTTATTGTCATTTATATTGTTATAATTTCTTATAAAATTTGTCAAAATAATGGCACATAAAATAATTAAATTTATTTTTTATGACATCTATATCAAAGGTAAACTTTTTTTTGTTTCACTTATTCCCTCAATTAATTACAATGAATAATGACTCACCATTTGAAGATGTCACAGATGACCACATTGGAGTACATTGAAGAAAGTTTCTTTATGTAGTTGCACCAAAACCATTATTAAATCATTTTAATAAAAGTTTTGGTTTAACGCATTTATCATTTGTGCAGAAGAGAGTCATCGTCGACTCTCTTGCACCAGCTTTAGATGTAAGTGAGCAATATACTCCAAAATGGCCTTGTTAAATCTCAAATGGTATAACAATCAGCAAGCAATTGTTCATAACAATAAAATATATAAATTGAACTATGCATTGCATTGCAATGCTATTCCAATGTTCTAGAAAAAGTCCATTTGCAAGACTCCATACCTCGTATGATCCGGACCGACCGGAGTATATTTGTAATCTGCATTAATTTTGTTAGTTTGCATAAACTGATGTAGCTTGGACTTGGCATTTTCTATCGTCCAGTTCCCATGTATCCCAGAGTTCACGTCAACATCCTCAGCATCTTCTACTTTCTTTTGATCAGCCAGCCTATCCATGTATGTATAATTACTCTGGCCACGTTCATTGTACGGTCTATATGCTTGACCAATGTCATTCGGTCCCATGCCTCCTTGAAACACTGATTTTATTGGTGTTGAAACTTCATTCTTAATAGCATCTGGTGTCATTGTCGGTATCCCAGCATCTTTTGGTACATCATTTGGATTCACGCGATTCGTACGTACTAAATAGTTAACATAATCTCTCGCGGCATTTCCTTGCGCATCCTTCTTGTTAGTCGAATTTCCTGCGCCGACATAGTCGAAGCCAGGTATTCGTAGTTCGCAGAGGAAACGTTGCCTGTGCTTCGGTCCTGCGAAACGTAAATAATCCATACAATCCATTTCGACTAATTTGAACGGAATGAAATCAGCAAATATACTTACCTGTTGGTCTAACATCAAATTGCGGTTCTTTGCCGTTCTTCGCACACCACTGGTGGAAAAAGGATTTTATATCGCCCATTTTTCGAATCTTCCGTTATTATTCTCAGATGTTAATGATCTTCTATTGTATGTAAAGGAATACTATGTAAATGTTAATAAAGTAATTGTCTTGTATTTTCGCTTATATTTCTAAAAGAGCGATGATAAAGACACGAAAACCAGCAAAATGTCGAGAAAGTTAATTTAACCTAACCTAACCTAACCTAACATAAGAAGCGATCCACTTATGTTGCAAATATTTTGGTATTCTTTGATTAGTCAATTCATACAGTCCTTTCTCCTGATTGGTCAACGAAGGAGATGATACGAAATACGAAATACAAATTGGAATGTGCCTTATACCCATGATGGAAGGAATAATATTGGTCTAATTTCTACCGAATATTTAATCCGAATCAGAATGTAAGAACCAACCAAATACAGTCGAGTATTCCCCTGTTACAGTTGAACGACAGGGTAATGCTCGACTGTAGTTGGTTGGTTCTTACATTCTGATTCGGATTAAATCCTCGGTGAAAATTAGGCTAATGTCGTTAAGAGACTAATGCCCGTATTCATAGGTTCATAGACTTTAAGGCTGGTTCACACCTTGACGGAAAAGCGGAAGCCAATCGGAACTCGCAATAGTAGTAAGCGGTACATTTCGCTTGTATGCTTTTGTCTTTCCGCAAGTTCTGATTGACTTCCGCTTTTTCGCTTTTCCGTCAAGGTGTGAAGCCGGCCTAAGATTCCTCCGGCCACCACGCTTCTTAATTTTTTTTTACTTATTCACAATACTTACGCGCAGCAGGTCAATTGTCCAACTTCACACGCAAATATCTCTTAAACAAATCATGCACCCAAATCCTTTTACTTTTTTATATTCTCGAATAGTATAGGTAAAATATATAGTAGAATATAATAGAATACACATTTCAATTCGTATTTCACATTTCATATCATGTCCTTGTGAATGGATCCCAATCAATCCAACTATCTACTATATCTAGTCTTCATGAATAATTCTAGAGTGCGCCATAGACATCTTTCAATTCAATTTGTCAACGTCATAAATGAAAACATGATAAATCTTATCTAATCTAATCTTATATATCTTAAATGATTGATGCTTATGGATAATATATTTAATGGATAACATATTTAAGATAATATAAATTGTACTTTACTTTAAATATGAAGCGCCACTATGATCTGAATATTGAACTATTATATATTCATATAAATGAATTAATTTCAGAAATGATAATTGCGTGTCGATATGGATGTGTCGGATTTTCAACACAATCTATCTGAAATATTAATAATCTCCCCTAATTTCCCAAATTAATCTTTATAAACTGTAATAAACTTTTTGCGAAAAATATTGCCTCGGCTGGAATCCGGATTTCTTGCATTCCGTACAAGCGTTCTAAGTCTTTAGATTACCGAGACAAGGATATTATCTCTCGGCCGAGATAATATTTTTCGCAAAAAGTTTATTACAGTTTTTTAAGATTAATTTGGAAAATTAGGAAGAATTATTAATATTTCAGACGCAATTATCATTTCCGAAATTAATTCATTTATATGAATATATATTTATATGAATATATATAATAGTTCAATATCTTAACATTTAGATCATAGTGGCGCTTCGTATTTAGTACTAAATTTTACTGTTTTAATTAAATATCATACTTGAATACAATAATTTTAATTTTTACGTATTTTTATTGTACTTTTTTTAGTGAAAAAATACATATAATTTAACA